ATAAACCTGGTAACTACAGGCCAGTCAAGGTAAGAGAATGCAGGGCCAAAAGGTTGGGTCTGTATGGTCCACATATGGTCCATTTCAGGGTGCTGTCTGGCAGAGGGAACATATACATTCATGAGGAGTTTGATTTGGTAGAGGATCAGGCAGAGTATGAATTTGGGATAGTTGGAGATCTTATAGTGTGGGTCATGGCATGTAGATGAGCATCCATGATCAAAAGGGGAATGCCAAAGGAAATGGGGCTAAGCTCAGGCCAGAGAGATGCCACATAAAAATGGAGGTTATAAATTCAAGATATTAAAGAAAGTTGAAGGATTATTAGGGGACAGTGCAAGGTTTGTTGGAACAAGTTGGGGCAGCATTTCTTGCCCATCCCTCATTGCCCTTGACAAGATGGTGGTGAGCTGCCTTGTTGACCACTGCAGTCCATGTTGTTAGAACATTAGAACTAGGAGCAGGAACAGGCAATTCAGCCCCTTCCGTCTGCCCCACCATTCAATACAATCATGGCTGATCTCATCTCGGCCTCAACTCCACTTACCGGCTAATCAAAAATCTATCCCATCCTTAAATTTACTCAGTGACCCGGCATCCACCGCATATAGGGGTAGTGAAATTGGCAGATTCACGACCCTTTGAGAAAAATAATTTCTCTTCCTCTGTTTTAAATCTGCTATCGCTTATCCTAAAACTATGACCTCTCCTTCTAGATTGCCCCACAAGTTGACACATTCACTCTCCATTTACCTTGATCAATCCCCTTTAATGTCTTATCTACCTCAATTAGATGTCCTCTCATTCTCTAAAATCTGGATAGTCATCAGCCTAAACCACTCAATCTCTCTGCATAAGACACACCCCTCAACTCTGGAATCAATCAAGTGAACCTCCTCTGAACTGTCTTCAATGCTACCACATCCTTCCTCAAGAGAAGGAACCAAAACTCTATGCAGTACTCCAGATGTGGTGTCACTAATCGCTTGTACAGTTGCAGCAACACTTTCCTACTAGTATGCTCTATTCCTTTAGCAACAAATGCCAAAACTCCATTCGCCTACCTTATTACCCACTGTAGCTGCATCCTAGTTTTCTGCGATTCATGCAAGAGGACACCCGAATTGCTATGCACCAAAATACTCTGATGTTTTTCTCTATTTAGATAATAGTTTGCCTTTCTATTCCTCTGACCAAAATGGATAACCTCACACTTAACCACATTAAACTCCATCTGCCAAACTTTGGCCCATTCACCTTTTCATATCTACTTTATAAAATTTCTTTATTGCAATATACTTTCCTACCTATTTTAATGTCATCTGCAAATTTGGCTAATTTTGGGTATCTTCTATCCCTGCATCCAAGTCATTAATATACATTGTAAATAGCTGGGGCCTAAGAACTGAACCCTGTGGTATCCTACTAGTTACATCTTACAACCAGAAAAGGGTATGTTTATTCTGACTCTCTGCTTTGTTTTGGTTAGCCAATCTTCTATCCAAACTAATATATGCCCCATGTGACCTTCTTACCTTGTGTGACACTTAACCCGTTGTGCGACACCTTTTCAAATGCCTTCTGAAAGTCCAAATATACTATGTTCACAGGATCCTAATTATCCACTTTGCCAGTTACATCTTCAAAGAATCCTAACAAATTAGTCAAACATGATTTACCCTTCATAAAACCATGCTGACTCTAATGGATTGTAGGTTGACTTCAAATATCTTATTGCTACTTTCTTAGTTATAGATTCCAACAATTTCCCAACAACAGATGTTAAACTAAATGGTCTGTAGCAGGGGTGGGAAACTGCAGCCTTTTGGGATACTAGTTGTGGCCTTTTGCCCATTTGTCCACAAATACTAAATCTGCCTTTTTAAATCTGTGTGCCATTTTTAAATTTTTACTGGTAACCCAGTCAGGTCAAAAACTAAAAGAACATTAAAGGAAGAGAACAGAGTATTCAATGAAGAATGGGAATTGCAGTATTACCTAGTTGCTGCGAAAGATAACATAATGTGTTTGCTCTGCAGTGCCATAATTGCAACAGTGAAGAAATACAATGCATATCAGCATTATGCAACTCATAAGGAGCACAAATATGTTAAACTAGAAGGAGAAGCCCGAAAGTCTGCACTTAAGAAAATGAAAGATCAAAAGCAGTAGCAGCAGCAGCAAGTATTTAAAACGATGTCAAGACAAGGGACTGACATCACTGAAGCAACTTATAAAGTAGCATGTATACTTGGAAGAAGAGGTAAGCCATTTAGTGATGTGGAAGTCATAAAAGAACACATTTTTGAAAGTGCAGGATGTTTAGATTCAGATAAGGTTAATAAGTATAAACAACTACCTCTTTCAAGAAGGACCATAACTGATCAGCAACATGAATTAGCCCTCAATGTAACAGAACAACTTCATACAATATACCAAAGCAAAGACATTTATTATGCCATTGCCTTGGATGAATCCACTGACTCACTGCAGGTGTTATTTTTAATTCGTGTTATAACTGCTGATTTTCATTGTCATAAGGAGTTAGTGGCTTTGGGTACTCTTATGGTGACGACACGTGGAATTGACAACTTCACCATCTTCAAAGAAAAACGCCATGAAGCGAAACTGAATTTATGTAATTTAGTAAGTGTATGCACCTTCCATAAGAGGAAAATGTGAAGGATTTATTGCGTTACTACAAAAAGAATTGCCAAACCCAGACACTTTGCTTTCCTTTCATTGTCTTTTGCACCAACGGAATCTCTGTGCCAAATCTACTGTTTTAATTGGCACATTAAATAAAGTTATAGGTATTGTAAGCTACATTCAAGCAAATGCATCACGACATTGCTAATTTCACAACATGCTTCAGCTTGATGATGAAACGTTCAGTGTGGATCTGCCATATCATTCTAATGTGCGCTGGTCGTTGCAAGGACAAATACTTGTAAAACTTCTTCCTTTGCAAATACAAATCACATGATTTTTTGAGGTACCGAATTGTCAAAAGAGGATTTCTGCAGAAACGCTACATTTCTGTGTGATATAATGTCAAAGCAAAATGATCTGAATTTCTTTTTGCAAGGTAAAACTAAATCTATATGTGATAATGTGGCTAAAAATCCAAGTATTTTGGGAAAAACTGACTTTTTTCAAAGCTTTCCCTACCCAATCGGAACTTTCAGCTGAACACTTGCCTGAACTGCCAATGGTAATTAATGAGCAGGATACAAGCAAATCATTAAGGAAATGCAATGTGAAAGAATACACAGCCATTCTAGACTCCCTGAGTGAAGAATACAATGAAAGGTTTGCAGATTTTGAGAAACATGATCTCACACTTAAACTAGCTTTTCAACCACACCTGGTTGATGTCTCTAAAGCACCTGATGACCAGAAGATAATATTCTGAAGGGTCTGTTTGACATTAAGAAGGATCCCATTGAAATATGGTAAAATGCCATTGAAAACTGACATCTACGCCAACATGCTCATCAAATTCTGCCTTGTTTTGGCACAACCCACTGTTATGAATCAACATTTTCATATGTGACACAAGTTAAAACACGCTTGAGATCTCAGATGACGGATATTCACCTGGAGGACCAATTAAAGCTATGGTCAACAATGTTAGAACCAAATAACCAATTCCTATCTCGCAATAAGCAATCACAAAAACGTCATTAAATGGTTTGTTGTATAAGTTTTTCACCTATTATTAGTTTTGTTGTCAACTTTGCCAAACAAGTAAGTGTGTCTTTGCTGAATTTTTATTTTGTTTAAAGTCCTCATATAATAGCAGGCTTTAATTAAAATTAATAAATATGTTGACAAAAATATGATATTTTGTTGTACATGTTAAAATCTCAGCATGTGGCCTAATAGGATCTCGGTTAAATAAAATGTGACCTTCCAATGTAGAAAGGTTCCCCAACCCCGGTCTATAGTTTCCTACCTTCTTCCTCCCTTCCTTTTTGAATAAGGGCATTATATTAACATATTGGATCCACTATCTCTGCTACCATTTCCTTTAAAATCCTACAATGTAGCCCACCAGATCCTAAGGACGTGTTTGCCCTCAATCATAACAGTTTGCTCAGTACTGTTTGCCCTAATTATGATGATTATTTTAAGTTCCTCCTTTTCTAAAATCTCTACATTACCTGTTAATATTGGAATGGTACTTGTGTCCTCCACCACGAAAACTGAGGTAAAATATTGATATAGTATCTCTGCCATTTTTGTGTTCCCCTCTATTAACTCTCCAGTCGCATCCTCCAAAGGACCAACATTTGTTTTAGCTATTCTCTTCCCTTTTATATACTATAAAAGCTTCTACTATGTTTTTGTTTTGTATTTTGTACTATTTTCTTGCATAATTTACCTTTGCTCTTTCTTTTGTAACCTTTTGTTAATTTTTAAATGTTTCCTAATCTTGCAGATTACTATTAGCCTTTGCAATCTGGTATGCCTTAGTTTTTGCCTTTTTGTTATCTTCAACTTCCTTGGATGTATTTCCCCATTCTATAATCCTTCTTCCTCACTGGAATATATTTTAGTTGGCTGAAATTGAAGCTCCTTAAACACTGCCACTGCTCATCAATTGTCCTCCTACCTTTTAGTCTTCCTGCCCAGTCCACTAGGATCAAATCTATCCTCCTGTAATTAGGTTTGTTCAACTCTAGAAGTTTCTCACCCTCAAACTGAATGTGAAATTCAGTCAGGGATGGGGCTTCCAGGATTTTGACCCATCAACAGTAAAACAAAGTTACATATTTCCACGTCAGGATGATGAGTGGCTTGGAGAGAAACCTACAAGAGGTCTTTGAACGATTCAACGTGAAGCGATCGCTCGGTGAAACGATTAATGGGTTCACCGATCTTTGTTCGCGCTCGATTTCTCTTCCCTGTTTTCAACTGTAGAAGCCGAGATCGCGCGCTGATTGTGTAACGTCGCTCGAAAGAGGAAGAGGGATTTGATTGGTCAAGGGAGTGACGTATTGCGCATTGACGTCATTGATGGCCATGGCGGAGAGGGTAGCGCGAGTTCTGTGGGCTGGTGGTCGTCTCGCGCTGACCTTAAGACACCGCCCGGGCCGGGATCGGGGCCTCGCGCTCACCGCGGCCGTTAGACCCTGCCCGGAGTGGGGCCTCGCGCTCAACGCTTCCGTTAGGGCCTGCTCGGGTCGGAACGGTAGCGGCTTCGCCGTCCACAGGTTAGTGATCGCAGGCCAATCCGCCCCCGTGTCTCTCCCCAGGTCCGAGGCTCGGTTAAAATTTGCAGCCTCCGTGTTCTCTAATGACGTCCCAGCCCTGGTAATCTTCTTAGTCACTCCGACCCGTTATCACTGATTCCCGTATGTCGGCCTTCAGATTCTCCCGCTGTCCCTCTCTGCAGATGGCACAGCCTCGCCCCTTTCTGATCTCCTTACTGATTCATCCTGTCCGTTCCCGCAATCCTCGTTGTATTCGTAGTCCATTCTACTCTGAAACGTTGGGCTGTCTTTTAATTGTATGAAACCTATAGATATGTAGTTTATAAATTTGGTTAGCACGGTTGCCTTACAGTGCCAGGGACGCAGGTTCGATTTCACCTTGACTGCAGTTTGTGTGTAGAGTTTGCACGTTCTTCCCGTGTCTGTGTGGGTTTCCTCCAGATAGAGGTGTGGTGGATTGGCTATGCTAAAAGTTGCTCCGTAGTTTCCGGGGATGTACAGGCTTCTTTTTAAAATCCCATGTGGGTCACGGGGATGGAGGAGGTGGGATGCTCTTCGGTTCAGTCAAACTCGATGGAATGAATGGCCTTTTTCTGCACTATTGGGATTATATGATTCTGTACAGCAAAGACCTTTTTTATGGCCCTTTGATTTTAGTAGTTAGCTCAGTGCAATTGCTCAATGTTGCATCATCTCAATGCTCCCTTCTCCGTATTTGTTGTGTCTGGGCCTACAGTTTTACTGTAGTGTTTTTAAGATACTGACTTCCTAGGTAAGTACTTTTTTAAAATGTTGTTTGAAAATGTACAAAATTGAGTAGGAAGTGATGCTCATCTACCTGCATAGTGCTTTGACCTGCCATGTTTGAAAGCCTTTGTTCCCTGATGGCTCTATCCTATGTCAATACTGCTGTGTTCACTAATTGTACATTCTTTTCAAAGTGTTCAGTGTTGTTGTGAAGAGTCTTAAAAATATAGCACAGTGCTTACTATTCCAATTTTTTTGCATCTTCTAGCCCTCCCTAAATTGTTCAACTAAAATAATTAATTAGTATTATAGCCATTTTGATGGGGGGGGTGTCACCGCTGCTAATATGTAATCTCCCTTTATTGACGTTGTTCTACGAGCAAAGATTGAATGAAAACAATCCTTCACCCCAGTTCTCAACTGTGAATCTGATATCCTTCCAATGCAAGTATTGTAAATGTTTTATTAACTGACACCTATAAGATCAGGAGTGTACCAGTTGATCAAATATTCTGGTTGATTGAGAGGTCTGCATAATCAATATAAAAACACACTAAATAAAAGAAGTATAATGCAGGGGATATATACATCACATACTTTATTTACAGCATTAATCACTTAAATAATAATGAAACTTTGCCTTAAATAAAACTTATCAGCAGAGAGCCTTCTCACTCTCACCCTCAACTGACTACTTGGAGATTGTGATAATACAGTAAACTTCCAGTGTTTCAGATATATAATTTTTGCTGATTTATCAAGAGTGCACGTTCATAAGATGCCAGTTAAACAAAGTTTGCTATATATACATCCTTAAAATGAGTCCACAACTGTATGCAGTGCATATGCTAAGTTTAACTAAATGCCCTGGACAGTTATGGCAAGGCTTCCTACTTTTGTATTCCAGACCCTTGCAATAAAGGTCAATATCTTGTTTGCCTTCAGTACTTGCTGCAGCTATATGCTAGCTTTTCATATTTTGAGTACAATGGGACATAGATTCTTCTGTACTGGAGTGTTTGACGCTCTCGCTAGCTGTTTGCATAGTTACTTTTCTGTTCAAAACAGAACCTCAATTTTACCAGTATTTCATCTGCCATTTTTATTTTTTTTGCTGACTCATTTATTTCTTTTGCAGATCCTTTGTATCATTGTAATTTGCTTTCTTATTTATCTTTGCATTGCCAGCAAATTGGGCTACATCATTTTGTCCATTTTTCCAATTATTACTACAAATTGGAATTCCAATTTTGGAAATGACCACTTAGCCCAACTGTTTCCTATTACTTGCCTAATCCTATATCCATGCTAATATTTCCCTTAGCATGAACTCTAATCTTGTGCATTAACCTTTTTTATGTAGCACATTATTAAATGTCCTTATTCACCTCGCTCATTACATAGTCATTCAGCACGGAACAAACCCTTCTGTTCAGCCAGTCCATGCCGAACATAATCCCAAACTAAATTAGTTCCATCTGCCTGCTCCTGATTGATATCCGTCCAAACCTTTCCTATTCACGTACTTATCTAAATGTCTTTTTAACAGTTGTAACTGTACCCCATCCACCATTTCCTCAGGAAGTTCATTCCACATGTGAACCATTCTCTGTTTGCAAAAAAAAAAATTGCCCCCTCATGTCTTTTTTAAAGTTCTCACCTCTCACCCTAAAAATGTGCCCTCTTAGTCTTGAAATTATCCATCCTGGGGGAAAGACAACTACCATTAACTCTATCTACGCCCCTCATTATTTTATAAACTTTTATAAGGTCACCTCTCAACGTGCTATTCTGCAGTGGAAAAAGAGTCCCAGCCTATCCAGCTTTTCTTTATAATTCAAATCTTCCATCCCTGGCAACATCGTGGTTAATCTCTTCTGAACCCTCTCCAGTTAATGTCCTTCATGTAACTATGGAACAGTATTCCAGAAGAGGCCTCACCAATGTCCTGTACAACCTCAACATGACTTCCCAACTCCTATACTCAAAAGACAAAGCAATGAAGGCAAGTGCGCCAAAAGCCTTTTTAACCACCCTGTCTGTATGTGACACAACCATCAAAGGATTAGGACCTGAACCCTTGGGTCCCTCCGCTCTACAACACTCCCCAAGGCCCTACCTTTAATTGTATAACCCCTACCCTTGTTTGTTGTACCAAAATGCAATACCTCACATCTATCCAGATTGAACTCCAACTGCCGTTTTTCAGCCCATCTTCAAATAAATTGCCAAACATTATTTCCTTTTCATTAAGTCATGTTGACTCTTGCATGCTTACACTATGATTTGCTGGTTGTTCTATTACTATGATCTTGATCCAATTCAATATTTTCCTAGTGACTGATAATAGGCTGACTGGTCAGTACTTTCATACGTTTGGTCTTCTTTTGTTCTTGAATAGTGTTGTCCAGTCTCCTCAACCCTTCCAGAGTCATAATGTTGAATTCACTTCACCCTAAGGTGCAGCTATGTCTGGGGTTGGTGGTGGCTATTAAAATGATTATTTTTCCTAGTCCTTTCTCTCAATCAAAATTCCTTTAAGTTTCTCCTTTTATGCCACCTCCTTTTCCTTGAGTATTGCAGTGTTTTTTTTAGTCAGGTACATTTATTTTTTCAAAGTCTGCCATTGTGTGTCATTGATCTCCCAGTCATTTCCTCTAAGGAATCAATGTTTCATTACTGTTATGTACTTGTAGAAACTTTTGCTGGCTCTTTACTAGTTTACTAAATTTCTTTTATCCATTTATTAGTCATTCTTTGATTTCTAAAATTCTCCCAATTTTCTGTCCTACATTCTTTGCAATATTGCTTTTTTATTGTTGTCATTATGAAAAGCGCAAATTGATATCTTTAAATATTTTTAAGGGTGATTATTTCAGACCCATGTTTCTCACGCTCAGAGTGAGCATAATATTCTGCCTTGCCATGAAGGTTAGCATTCTATACTAACCTCCTAGAGCAATCTCATCCCATCACAGCTGCCAAGAATATACATTCTGTGTCTGGCACAGTTCTCCTTACTCCATAGATAGTAGGAACTGGAGAATCTGAGATAACCAGGTGTAGAGCTGGATGAACACAGCAGGCCGAGCAGGAAAGGTCAGAAGAAGGGTCTAGGCCTTCCTGCTCCTCTGATGCTGCTTGGCCTACTGTGTTCATCCAGCTCTACACCTTGTTATCTCCTTACTCCATGGCTGGTTTAGATCAATCTTGGTAGATGGCAGTTGATTTCAACCTATTTTTCTAATCAACCTGTTCAGAAATTTTATTACACACTTGTAAAGCAGGTGGGACTTGAACTTGGCATTACCACTGTGCCACAAGGGACATTGAAGGAAGAAATGTCAGCAAGATCTCTTCCCGATTACTCATGAGTGACACTTGCTAGAAGTTGTGAATTTGAATGTTGGTTTCGATTGAACATTCAGCTTAATTACTATCCATGCTGGAGCATGAAAAACTTCCATTAGGGTTAGGTATTGTCCAATTACCCCTGAATGCCTTCAGATTAATGAAGGCACAATTGAGAAAACTAGAATGACCAACGAAATACAATACCATGTTTTAAAACATGGCATTTACAGTTCAAAACTAAGCAAGCTCTAAACTGAATTAATGAATTCCTAACTGACTTAATTATACAAATTGATAGTGATTTGTCTAGTTCCAGATTTAAATAATTAATTAGTGTGGTTACAATTCTCTCCATTACTGTGTTGAATGTGTTGATTGCAATAATTTTAGTTGGATCTCAGCTCGATTCTTAAATAGTCTTCGTTATGCTGGATCTAATTTTGAAACGTTTTTTTAAAAAGAAAACTTAAAATGTTTCTTAGGTTTTTCTGTACAGCTACTCGACAGAAAAACACTGGACAAAGCTACGATGATGACCAAAATCAGACTCGGAATGCAGACAAAGGAGAACCCAGCCCAGCAGAGAAAATACTTGTCGAGGAAAAGAATAAGCTGGAGGAGCAACTCAAGGACCTTACAGTAAGCTTAAAATAACTAAACTTTACATTGATCCTGGGTGACAACATGATTAGTTGGGATAATGCGGTTCTATGACAAGAATATTTCTACCATGCAAGACAGGTTATGCTGGATCATGCTTTCTCCTTGTAGCCTCCACTTTGTCCATGAGCACATATGAATGTTGGAAATATTATGACAATTGCTATATCTGTTTTCACAATGCTTAAACAAACTTGTTTTCAATTTGAGAGGATAGGGGTGCTTTGAATAAGTGGAGTTCTGTATTGCAATTATGAAGAGCACAATTAGTACTTTTAAATGGTTTTTGTGTCCTGGTGCTGGAACTAGGCCATGCTGTTATTGGCTTGAGTGAACATCTTTGGCACATATGCCATCTACAAAACTGCTATCAGTAATATGGAATTATTTTAACTCCAAGAATTTGGCTGCACTTGAGGCACAGTGATGAAACAAGTGGTACTTCCACTACCCAGGAAAATTACTGTAATGTACTTCTGAGATAAGTTAGAGGTCTCTCTTTCTTCAAGGCTTCAAGGTATAAATTTGGCCTGTAGATTGATTAATGAGTTTAAAGTGGTTATATTTTAACCTCTTAAGCTTCTGGGATGTTAAAGACTGTGTTCTTGTATTTTTTTTTCCTCCATATCAAGACATTTTGCACCTGACTTTGCGTAATGTCTGAAAAATAGCAGGCCTGAAGTGCTGCACAAAGTCATTGTGAAAGGCAGCTCTTTGCTGGAGTGTAATTCATATGGCATTTGGTTATATTCTAATAACTGCTTGGTAGACATATCTCTAGGATGTTTCAATAAAAAGTCATCACAATATAGCTTTTCTTTTGAAATAAAGTGATAAGTGCCTAGCTAAAGTGGAAAAAATGAACTCTTTATATTTTGTAGGACAAGTATAAACGAGCACTGGCAGATGCTGAAAATCTACGTCAAAGGAGCCAAAAGCTGGTTGAAGAAGCTAAATTATATGGTAAGAACATCTCAAGGTTGAACAAGGAATGTTAGATCTATGTAGAATCTATACTATCTGTTAATTACACACATTCTTCACTGGCAGACTGGTGATGTCAGATATTTGTAATGGTGTATTCCTATCATGTGCTGTAGTTGGGGAAACATGACATGGGCTGTCTTAGTACAGTTACTGCAGTAACAGGTGGAAATATCATCTGTTTCTTGCTCGAATTGCTTGTAGATATTTCCTTTTGGGGTTGAATGTCTTTGCCTTAAGTTTAAATTGCATTACATCAGAATGATTTGTTCTCAAACCATGATTGAAATTAAGCAATTAACAGACTGCTTTGAGTGAGTAGTACAGAGTTATCACAATCTTTGATTTCATTGTCTGTATTGACAATTTAAAATGAGATTTTCATATTTGGATAAAACTTCTAAATGGAGGGCTTTTAGATTTAACCTGAAGGTTAATTTTCATAATCTCATTTAATTTTGACTTCAAATTCAGGTTACGCCTACTTTGCCTTACTTTCCACACAGCTGTTACTCTTGGTAGTACGTAAAATGATTTTGTTTTGTCTGTTATACAGTTCTCTCATTGGGACAAGTAAGAATGTGGAAATGCAACATTTGACTATTCTGGATATGCCACCTTATTTTTCTGCTTCCCTCACTTTGCTTGTCTCCTTTTTTCTGTGCGTTTGCTACCCATTTCTTTCTTCTGTTAATACCAACAATTTTATCCTGTCATCCAGCACCACCTCATCTTTCTTTCCACTTGTTGTTTGTGTCTGCAGTTTTTTGTTTTTTATTTCATTGGAATTTGCATTATTTTTAATTTGTTTTTAAATTTTCCAGTTTCATTGCAGGTATGATATGCTGTTGTCATGAACACCATGGTTATTATAAAGGATTGGTACAAAGGCTGACAAATTAAACCAGTTAATTGTTGCAGAAACAACTGACTGGTGTTCATGGATTAAGCATTGTGTGTTGCCTTTGTGCCTTACAGTAGAAATTCTTTGCGATCTCTGGATCTTCATTCATGGGACTGAAAGATGCCAATAAGGCGGTAGTGTGTTATGTCTTCATTCTGGTGTAGGGATTTTTGAGGCTATTGTAGTGAGGTGAAAAACCAAAATTGTTGATATTTACTGAGTATTTTTTTCTTGGAAGGAAACATAGTCACTTCTGGTTTTCTGCCATTATGTTTCTGGGTTCAGTGTATTTCCTACTTTTTTTAAAAAAAAAACTCCACTGACCCTATCCAACCTATCACCAAACATGCTTTTTAAATCATTATCCAGTCTTGGTTATCTTAGTGTTCAAATGCAAAGTAAGAAATGTTGTGTTTTGGGTAAGGACATGCCTCTGGAATGCCAATCCAGTGGCATTACCACTGTACCACCATCACTAAGGATACTGTGGATATCGGGGAATCTGATACTGAAACAAAGAACAAACTGCTGTGCTGAAGCCCCAGAAGATGTTTTTTTCCCTTTGGAATATTTCTCAGCTGTAACTTTATGAATACCATTCCTGTACCAGCCTTCTGTGTTGCTTGTTCAGGTGAGAATGGCTATTGAGAAGCTCTGAATTTAGAGGGGAAATAAGGTAATAAATTGCTGAGAAACATATTACTGTTTATTCTTGAGGCATTGTTCCACATGGATTCCATTAGGCCTTCTAGACTGAAAACCTTTTACTGATGGGAACAAGTCTGTTCTGCAAAGGTTAGCTGACATTTTTATTACATGCTTAAAATAGCTACTGCTTTAAAAGTAGAAGAAAAGCTATTTCCAATTCTGGAATGTAGTTTGACACTTTAATTTGCCAGGGTGATGGTATCATGATGCTGAAAAATGGATTGGTGAAAGTCTTGCTGCATATTGGTTACATTCATTAAAGTGCGCTGATTGAATTGACCTGATCAAATTTGAAATGGCAGAGAGTCAAGACTTTTAAGAGAAACGTTTCATACAATTGTCAGGCAAAGTGGCAAAAAGACAAGGGGGAAAATGGTGGAACTTTGGTTGCATACATACCAGCACTGAGTAAATCTAAAGTGTTACTATTGCTATTAGCAAAAGAAAATGGTCTTAGAATGACTTTCACAGTTCTGTTCCTAGTATTTCTAACATGTCCTCTCTCCTGCTTGCTTTTGTACAGTTTAATCCCATCACCGTTTTGACTAATTTTCCCTTTCCTTAAGGTATTCAGGGATTCTGCAAAGACCTATTGGAAGTGGCAGATATTCTTGAAAAAGCAACAGAGAGTGTGCCGAAAGAAGAGATCACAGGACAGAACCCCCACTTGAAGAGTCTTTATGAAGGTCTAATCATGACCGAAGGACAACTTCAGAAAGTGTTCTGCAAGCATGGTCTCGTCAAACTGAACCCCCTTGGAGCAAGGTTTGATCCATATGAGCATGAAGCTCTCTTCCACACTCCAGTGGAAGGAAAAGAGCCTGGTTCAGTGGCACTAGTGACCAAGATAGGGTACAAGCTTCATGGACGCACCCTTCGGCCAGCATTAGTCGGTGTTGTCAAAGGAACAGAATAACTATGTTTAGGACGGACTGCAGTATAGTGCAGAAAGGCCATACAGTTCCATTCTTTGGCTAATGGATATTGTTTTTGTTTATGTTTATGAAGAATTGAAAATAATCCCAAGTTACTATACAAAAACTGAGGGTCTGCAGACTTGAAGATGTTTCACAATTAAGTGAAATGAGATTTTTTCTTCTGTTTTGAGTATTGATCCTCAATAAATATTCAAATCTATTAACTGCCTCCCCACACAGTTTACAACAGACATTGTACATTTGGCTTTAGTTCTAGTTTAATGAAATCACCATCTAGTTGTCTTTTGCCTCCTTTCTCCTGTCAACTTTATAATCTAAAAGCTAAACTAGTTTTCATAACAAAGGAAAACACCTGTTCAAAGCATCCATTTGTATGGTCTTATGCGTAAGTAACTATCCACTTTGTGGACTGTTTAATATTTTATATTTAGTCCTTAAAATTGTGCATTGTACACTGTACAAAATTGAACTCAATTAGTTTAAACATTAGTTAGAAAACTGATCAAGTTATGAAATATTAAGTTTAATATTCCTCTATGCTGTGTAAATTACAGGTGCCAACCTCTTCTGTGGCAGTGTCACTCGTAATACAACATCAGGAATTGAGATATATGGAACTATTCCCTGTATATTCTGTAGATTACAAGGAATGATTGCATAATTGGACAGTTTTTCCCTCACTTGTGGAAAGCACAGAGAACCTAATTACTTCAATTGTTAAGGATATTACAATTGAAAAATAAATTAGACCAAATTAAACTAATTGTTTGCAACTATTTTAAACTATAACTATGAATGTTATTTATTGATTTAAAATAAAGAAACATGCTCATTGTCCTGAGGGTAGGGAAAGGGGGACTCCTTAATGTTTGCATAGCTTATTTTTTTAATTAAACAATAAAATAATAGTTTCCCCATCAAATTTCTATTATACTTCCAAGTCTGATTAATCTCACTCAAATTTAATTGAATTTCATTACCCTTTTTATTGTGAAATTGTTTTCTTGTTAGACTTCTAGGTAAGTTAGTCTAAGTAACCTGTAGATGGAGCCAAAAGTTGCATAGTTAAACTGAAGTCTGTCTAACATACCACTTGTAAATTGCAGATAGATACTCTAGTTGTGAAGGCAACTGACAAATTAGTATATTAATTTGAATGACTGAACTTGGAATTACCTGGTCTATGGAGACATTAGTTTGCTCACTACATCATATTTTGCAAGATTAGAACTGTGATTGAAAGTCAAAGTTCAACTGTGAAACTTAGAATATGAAGGACCAGCATGAAGATATTCCCATATCTTCCCTTGGGATGTTATGGGGACAGTAGCTTAGGAAAAAGTCAAATAGTACCACCAGGACAAAACATTTCATTTAAAAAGGCGAATAGACTAGCTATGTGGAACAGCAATTTCAGGCTTGAATTAGCAGAACACTCCTTTTAAATGTTACTTAAAAGAAAATCATATTTGGTGTTTTGAAATATGTTACACAGTATTATCAGTGGAAGTGTTAAATATATTATTGTTCAGTGGTATGGACAGTGATATGTTAGCATGGTGTGATTGGATAAACTGTGGTAATGAAATTTTAATCTAGTAGTCCCACAGCCAAGATATAAAAGCATTCTTGCATATTGAATGGTAGACTGGGAGTCCCAAGCCAGTGGGATCAGGTCCTTTGGACAAGATGCAGCTCTTGCACTATGCCTCCAGTACCAAAGTGTGCTGAATATACTTGAAACCCTGCCCAACCCCTCCCCATCTACACTTTGCCATTGCTTTCAGGTTGTGGTTACAGCACCTACCTGTTCTTCTGTCATCTGACTATTCCCATATTCCTGTTGTATTCTGTTGATGTCTGTCTAGTACCTAAAGCCTCTCACCAAAAGAAGTGACTCCTTCAAGAAATGAGCAACACCTTACCAAGCAACTGGGGTCTCCTAAAATAATTGATTAGCCAATGGCATAGTGCTTCTGACCCATCTCTTTTGATCAACTTTTAATATTTTGGATGATGAGCCTTTAACTAGTGAGGTAGGACCTTCACATGTCTCCAGTAGGCCAGGTGCTCTGCACACTAGTCTGCCAGCAGGAGTCATGCCCATTATCAGTACTGCAGGTGTTTGTAGTTGGCCTGGACATTGAGATAAATACAGGATCTCACTTTGGCCTGGCCACTGGGCCCTAAGGGGTGGGTGGGAGAGTGGTGTCTGCTCCTGCCTGTGAAATTTGATGGTGAAGTGAGATCCTCAACTGGAGAATTGCCCAGAGGGCTTTGGTTTGACTGGGCTAGTAACCAAACCAAATCTTCCTACACTCAAAATTGTAAGGCATCTTCATTTGATGACTCTTGCTTTCTCACCTGGAAGTGACTTGTAAAAAAAAAAAAACTACATTTAAAGCAATGTTATCCACACATATTCTCTTGATTTACCAATGAGCTCAAAAGTACTACTTCAACCAGAGATGATAAAGTGTGGAGCGAGAGGAACAAGAAAGCTGACATTTCGGTTTGGGACCCTTCAGAAAATCAGTAACTTTTTTAAGCAAACTACTTCAACCAGCACTGTTTTGTCTTTCAAATCTAAACAGTGACAAAAAAAATCACGTTCAGCAGCATCTTTGGTCAGAGAAAGCTGCTGGGGTTAATGTGTCGGGCAAATAGAGTTTAGTCTACTATATTTCAGATTCCAATTTTTAAACCTTGTCACAACTTCTCAATAGTAAACTCATTTTTGTCTTAAACTCATTAAGATACAACTGATTATTCCTGAGCTACTTCATAATGCAGGTATGAATATTATTTTTGTGGTTATTAAACTTGTTATTAATCATGTATTGGAAGTTTAACATTTCAAAGTTTGAAACAGCAGAAACAAGCTAGTGGATAACACTACCTTTTGAGACTATTCCCCATAGCTCTCATTTACATTTCATCAGTGAGCTATGTCACTCACTGGTCTTTACAAAGAACCTCCTCTGTGGATGAGTACTGCTTTTTGTCATACTAGGAGCGATGCACTACCTTAGCAGATTGAGCTTGCGTTTCGGAGATTTGACAGTTTGAAAATCTGAAATTGCACCAGAAAACAGCAGGTATAATAGTCTTTGTTTTGAAGTCCCCAGTACCTTGACACTTAATATATTCATCAGGCAGCAGTATGGTATTGTATTCAGATAGTTCTTGATGGTTGTTTCAAGACAGCTGCACATTCATTTTCTTCCCATTAGATTTCTTCCTTTCTCTGCTCCATTGTGGCTGTAGGCTCATGAATTTCTGCAGGAAAAAATTGATACAAAGTATGCCATTGAGAAAGCTAATACTACCCAAAATGAATACATTCTATTTTGTCATCTACTGCTGTGTATGAATTCAGCAGCCATCTGCCTATATAGACTCAGGGTTTTCAACAATGATTCTTTTTTCCTTTGGTGTGTTTCGTGGTACTGCTTCTTCCTTTTGAAGGGATAAAAGACATATGGAATGAGCTGCCAGCAGAAGTGGTTGAGGCAGGTACATTAACATTTTAAAGGCATTTGGATAAATACATAGATAGGAAAGTTTTAGTAGGATATGGGGTAAGTGTGCATGGACCACTTTGGGCCAAAGTGCCTGACTCCATGCTGTAGGGCTCTATGACAATGATGAATAACTGAGTGGCACAGACACTACCCAATATTGAAATAAAGACTAACGGAAGCCCTTATGGAAGACAATTATGTTGCAGTAACCTTGCTGAAAGCTGTGCTTTAATGTTTTCAAAGGTTCACCTTTGTTTTCAAAGTAGCAGACTAGATGAGTTTATAGAATGCTTTCAAGATAGTTTCTTAGAGCAGTAAGTTATATTACACTTGGTATTGTAATGTAACAGGAATAATGCATGACTTCAAAGTAACAAGTATCCCTAGGTAGATGTGATCATATATTTGAATTTTACATCCAGTTTGAAAGACCAGGTGTAAAACTAGTATTTTAAACTTAATAGGGGCAAGTTATCTGGGCATGAAAGCAGAGGTGGCTGAGTTGAACTGGTGAACTAGGTCAGGGGATAGATTAATAAAATTGCAGATAATACAATCTAAAATTGTAGATAGAGGACCCACCATCCATGATTACATAAAGTTAGGGAAAGCCTCAAGATTAAAGGAGGAAAAGTAACTGCACAAAGATGAGTGGCAAATATGATGACAGGTCAGAAGAGAGAACAGCAGAGTTTAACTAAAGGCTAAATCAGGAAGACAGAATGAGAGGAAACCAGCTAGAAATGTAAGTTAATAGGAAATGTTTCTACAGAAAGAAATTTAGAAAGGAAACAAGTGAGCATTAGTGCGAGAGAATGGGGAGTTTTATAGTAGATGAAATTAATAAATGTTTTGCCTCTGACTTCATAGTGGATAAAAATCATTACTGTAATAACAATCAGATTGTAAGGGAGAGGGTAACTTAGGGAAATTGCAAATTAATGGAGCTGTAGTCTGAAAGTCTATGGATACTGACACAAACCCTATGGTCTTAAGCAAGCATTTAATGAGAATTTTTCAAAATTCTTGATTTATGAACGGCCCCATCAAATTGAATAGTGGTGAAAAAATAGCCTTTTCAAGAAAGGAATGAGAGAAAAAAAAAGAGCAGAGGTATAGGACAGTTAGCTTGACATTTGTCATGGGGTGAGTTGAAATCTGTAAATTAAGAGGTCATAGCTGGGCACAGCTTGGAAAGAGTCAGCATGTTTCTGTGAAAGGCAAATCATGTTAAACTTGTTTGAGTAATGTGAAAGGTCTCTTGTAGTGCAGAGGTAGTGTCTGTACCTTTGGGTCAGGAGACTCAGGTTCAAGTTCCACCTGCTCCAAAATGATGTAATAATATCACTGAACAGTTTAATTAGAAAACAGCTGGAGGGGTAGTGTGCTGTGGATAAAAGGGGGACCTGTAGACATGCTGTATTTGATGTACCACCAAGGTTATTGTGGAAAATAAAAGCTCATAGCAAAGAAGATAACATTTAGTATGGATAGAATATTGCTGGCAACAGATAACATTAGCATAAAATGGGTTTTTGCCTGTGACAAGTGGAATGCGTATCAATAATTTGGATAGGAGGGATGAAGACCTGGTAGCTGTCTGCAGAAGACAGGTTGAAAAGTATGTGGTAAGAGTTTACAGGTGGGTACAGATAGAATGGATGGACAAAAATTTGGCAAATGAGTATAATGTGGGAAAATGTGAATTTGCTAACTTTGACTGGAAGAGTGTAAAATAAAAGAGCATTCTTTAAACAGCAAATGACCGCAGGACTGATGTGCAGAGGGATCTAAGTTTCTAGTACAAGTCACAAAACATCCCTATGCAGGTACAGCATGTAATCAAAGTGGCTAATACAATGCTATCCTTTGAGGAATTGACTGAAAAAGGATATTGTGCTTCAGTTACACAATACGTTTGAGATCACATCTTGAATGCTGTGCATTGTTTTGGGATCCTTAGTTAAGGAAGGATGTGAATGCATTGGAGGCAGTTCAGAGGTGGCTAATTAGATTTATAGCTGGAAGTATTGGTTCTGTTATGTGGAAAGATTGATCACGAGTTCAGAGTGAAAATGACTTGATTTAAAGTATGTAAGATCCTGAAAGGTCTTGACACAGTGGATGTGGAAAGAATAAAAAACTGTGTAATTGAGAACACTGCCTCAGAAGGTGCAGTAACTAAGGTCAATGACTACTTTAAAGCAGAGGTAGAATTACTTGTTACACAAGGGAATCT